AAGTTCCGTAATTTTATATCAAAAACCAAAATGAAAATTACGAAACTTTTTTATTTTATTAAGGAACTGTAGAACTATGAAAAGTGCTACTGAAATGGTAATTGTTTTTTTTATATTAATAGAATGTCGTGCTAAGTTCACAGATTCCTCGCGGATATCTAAAGCGCTAGAAAAAAAACATCACATTTTTCGATTCATGCAAAAATGCGTGGTTAGCGTAATTTTATTCGGATTCCAAAAATAATGTTCAACGATTCTCCTGCTTGGCAAAAAGACTCTCCTGCGTTGATTTTGCTTTTACACACTGTAGTTATTAGTTAAGATACCGATGTTACTCGCGGCGCGCCGAATCAAGACTGTGAATCGCTTATTACGCATCTTAAATATAAGTAGGATTACGAGGGTGGCCTTAAATATAAGTAGAATTCGGTACCCTTTTATCGACGCATAAAGGAATTTGCGACTGAAATTTTCCGCGGTACAACGTAACGTTTCGACGCGGCATGCAACGGCACCGATAAAAACTTTAACAGACATGGTGCGTTAAGGTCGATACACACCGGCACGAATCGTCACACGTTAAAACAAAAAGCGAATCTCTTTGCATTACACGTATGCACACAACATTAATAATGATTACTTAATAAAAAACCGTGATATAAACAACTTTATGCGAATTATCTTTTTCTTTTGAAAGTTCTTCATTTTTAATTCTAATTACTTTTTTCAGAATTATTAAATTATCAAACCTTGTCAATTTTTTTATTGTTATTAGTATCGTAAATAATTGTATTCGGTATTTTCAGTTTGAGTCGTATTTGTAACGTATAGAATGTATATTTCCGATTACGATTTAAACGTGTAAAAATTGACGTAACGTGACGTTAATATTACATGCGTTGTGAATAAATCTTCATCTGTCGGATTTTTATGGCAGCAAGTATGAACCGGCTTTTAAACGGTTTCGTAACGTCGTGTCGAGTCCCTGAAGTCACAACACGGCGACGAGGAGATGTTACTGCACGCCGATCGCTCCGAATCGGTCGGCGTCGTGCGGAGAATATCGCTTTCTTACCACGTTAATTAATTGCGAATCTCGATTTGGCCGCACCGGCTGAGCCCACCCCATTAGAACTTAAAAATAATCGAACTGGATTCCAGCGCGTCAAACGCCGGTCCCGCTTCGGCCCGCGACTGCCCTTTTCATTTCGTTCATTAGTCATCGGCGGCTGGTTCCGCGATAAGCCCGTCAGCAGCCAGAATCTCTTTAAAGCCCTATTAAGGTCCGGGACCTTTTTATTGCGAGATATCGACGCGTATCGAGATATGGAATTATAACAGTAATAAGAGTAGCAAGACTGGCGATAATTCCAGCAGACTTTTTTCACCGGAAAAAAAATATCAGTGGAAAAAGAAAGAAGGAGAACGACTTACAGGTGCCCCTGGTATGAAGTTTTCACGAGCTTCACAGCGAACAGGAATTGTATAGCGCAGACCAGTAGGCAGCAGAGATTGAGGGACAGGGCGAGGGCGCACAGCGCCACGGTGACCTCGTAGACGATGGTGAACTCTTCCGGACTGATGAGGCTGGACGTGACCGTGAGCGGCGAGATCTTGAGCAGGAAGATGACCGAGAGCAGAGCCAGGAGCATAGACACCAGACACAACAGTCCGAGACTCGACACCATCTCTTTCACACCGGCCCCGTGGTTCCGATGAAGATTCCTGGACAGGGACGACGACCAGGAGGTGTTGAGGGGTATGACCGTCGGCCCGCCGCCGCCGGCTACCTGACCGGCCACGACCGGAAGCGCAGGTGCGGCAGGTGCGGGCGACGGCGTGGTCTGACTCGGCAATCGCGACAGCCTCGAGATGTCGAAGCCGCCGTTCGCCTTCGGTCTGTCGTGATGCGAGGGCACGTTCGTTTGCGAGATCACCGTGTGACCCAGCTGGCTCATCGAGACGTTGTTGTTGTTGTTGTTGTTGTTGTTGTTGTTGTTGTGATTGTGGTTATTGTTGTTGTTATTATTATTGCCGCCGGTGCCGTTGTTACTGTTGGCCCCGCCGACTGGACTGACGCTGTTGACCGAGTGCTTCGAGGTCGACAGAGTCGACAGGTTGAGCGCGTGCGAGTGATTCAAGCGTTGCGACAGGTTGTTGACACTCAGTTGGGAGTGGTTGAGCGGATGCCGGTGCGTCGACGAGGGCGTCGTCGCTGACTGATGCGCGTTCGACGCCGCCGTCGCCGCCGCCGCTGATCTCTGCACCACGGCGTCGTACACGTCGCCATTGTTGCCGCGGTGGCCCGCGTTCCCGGTGTAGTGATGATGATGTTGCTGCTGCGACTGCGGCTGCGGCTGCTGCGGCTGCGGCTGCTCCTGGTGCAGCGAGTTGTTGTGCATGTGGTGATGATGGTGCCCGCCGTGCAACGAGCCCGAGCTCGTCTGATAATCATTGTGATGATGATGCCTGGAGCCCGTTGACGACGGCTGCCCCGTCAGGATGTGCTTCAGCATTACTCGACACGCTGGCGTCACGCGGGGTGAGAACACTTCTCTTTCCACCCGGCGCGTCGATCCTCACATGGCGACCTCGAGACTGCTGAATCGCGCCGAGTCCACCGTGTCATAGCACGTAGATCGTCAGCTTCGACCTTCCTCAGACTAGATTCATCATGTCGAAGAACGTCACGTCTTTGCTCATCACGCCGAGTGTCTTATCGTACCGTGAACTCTTTATCGCACTTTCACGTCGCACTGTCGCGTGGCACATTAACTTCATTTAGTCCTTTTCAAACTAGATTTTTGTACACAAAGAAATGTTACTTTATTTTTCATCCGAATGTTTCGCGATAAAACAAATATTCACGATAAAATATACAGTCCATCAATTTCAATGTTCGAGCTAATTTTATCACTTTTCAAATTTCTTGTCACAGAATAAATCACTCCTTAAGTTTGTCGTTAGATTTTGATATTTCTCATTAATCAATTTCTAAAAATCATTGCTCAATTCCTTCGGACTCGAACTCGGCGTTTGCGCGCGAACCACGGCTGTTGGGCGCTACGTTCCCGGGCTCAGCGAGTTACTGCACACCAGTTGCTCCACCATGGCGACGGCATCCACCAGGCCGGCTCTCACATATCGGGTTCACAGCGCGAAACTATGCGACGACAACGGGACGGGTTCGCTAAGGGCATGATCGGGTCGATCCGCGCTCGAGGCTTTTCTCTCTCCCCTTCTCTCGTTTTTTCTTCTTCTTATCGCGCTTGTGGACAACGCGATCGGTCGTTCGTTCGTTCGTTCGTTCGTTCGTTCGTACGTGCGTACGTTAAGGCGGCTGCAAGCTCGGTTTTCTGCCACCGTCTTCTCGTCGGGTGTGCGCGAGCTCGTCAGCCGGCATGGCTTCCGAGATGGTGCCGGCGGTGCCTCTGGAACAGGTCGGAGGAAATAATTAATGGACCGACTGTTCACTCTCCGCTGTCGGACGGAATAGTCGGACCGTAAAAGAAGGATAGATACGGGGTATAATCTACCCGGCGCGGCGGCGGCCGATGAACGGAAAACCGCTTCTCTCCTCGACCTTTGGAGCTTCGCGTAAGGTGAAACGCGATTGACCGTACTGCCCTCCTAAGCGAAAAAGTCGTATCACATCTATTTTTCACAAATCAATTAATCTCGTCAACAGAAATAACTTTGAAAAGCGTAAATAATTTTTAAGTCAAAACTTTAGATACTTAATTGAAGAATATTTTAAAGTAAATAAAATTTTATTTCCAATATATACAAAAATTTAATTTTACAACTCGCGGAATATTGAAAAATAAAAAATAAAATGTTGAAATGCATCTTGTCGGTTTACGACGGTAATACACGCAGTAAATTCTGTTTAATGCGGACGGAATTTAAAAAAATTTTAAATCGGGGTCGAGAAGGATAAATGCATGATTCAGCTAAAGCCAGCTAAAAGCTATCCACTGAATGGATATTGTAAAAAAAAGGTTTTATACATTAGAAGCGTATAGACGAGCGCATTTCTCAAATACTGACGAGGGGCGAATCGTCTGATTCTAACGGACTATAAACCGATTGCATCGTGACGGAGCGCTTTAAAGCGCGACCGTTTCCAGCAAATGCGATATAAAAGGATTCTTAAATCAAAATTACTGTGTTTTCACGTAGTTTAACATTTCTTATTTGTAGCATAAAAATTTGATAATGCTCATCTTGTAATTTCAATTTAATTTCTTCTTAATTCTGATTGAGCGTAAATGCGCAAGTACTTTTGAGACTGCTTTGTAACGTAGCTAAGTATATATAATTTTTTAAATTTTTATCTAGCTAAGGAAAATAATCTATCTCCATTTTTCATATCCGAAATTGCGTCAAGCTAGAACCAAAAACTATGCGCAATTCGTGATTCATGATTCGTAATAATTCCCGGAAATCTGTCGTTCGGCGATCCCGCTGCGATCGTGACTCGTCATTCGTTGAATAGCGTTTCGACAATCATTCGCGCGTTCGATTTCCTCTCTCTTTCGGGTCAGATGCTTAAAAAAAAGCTTCAAAACAGACAAGGAAACATTAATCTATGACGCATAGTGACGTTGTATACGAAATTTCAATGAACTGATTCATAGTAGTCCACGCTTTTCGAATTCGTCAAAAAGCATGAGTAAAAAAATTTAACAAATCACGAATGCAAATTTAACCAACTCTCAGCTCGCTCTATTCACATGAATTTCACACGAGTCGCGAACATGCGTATAGTCTGACGCTAACTTTATACAGCGGGCAGACGATGACCTTTAGCGGCGCGCACGGCTGCACGCGCTCGCGGAAAAGCCGCGATGCAAGCGGCATGCGACCGAGAAGCCCGCGTGCCGGCGTGTATATCTGATCGCGACGTGAAGAATCCGAAGACAAATTGTCGGACGTGCGAGATAAGCGAATCGCGGTGGAAAACTGGGCGATGTAGTGGCGGCTGTTTCGCGCGCGCGGGACAATCACGTTGATATTTCATTACGAGCTGCGCAAAGGTTTTACACTAGAGTTTATTTTAAAAAGAAGAATCCACATTTATATTACAAGCCATTTAAATGACAAATAGAAAATATTACTGTAAAAATAATTAAATAGATCGTCTCTTAAAAACTTTTTCCTTAAGAGTTTCTTTTTTTCTGAAATTTTTTATTTTTTTCATACATATTAAACAAAAAATATGTTCTGCATAAGCAAAAAAATATATTCCGAGCGTGGAAAGGCAGAACGGTTTATTAGTGGAAAGATAAGCGAATTCGCAAGGCAAAACTAGCATTTCGAGCGAGACGATCGTAGCGATACTTCATTACTGTGTGCTCGCATTATTATCACTTTCTACGACCGCGTACAGGCTCTCCCGGGGGCTCGTTGTTCATACATTTCCTCTCACTCGGCACGAGCGGGTCACGCGAGCTCGCCTCTTTGCTTATCTAACGGAATGCACATAGGGAGATCGCCCAGAATTCTCTATCTTAATTGCAATTAGAAATTCCCTCATAAACATTAGAGAAATTATTTTCCCTTAATTATAATGCGATTAAGAAATAGTTCTCGAATACAAATTGTTGAATACAAAAGAGTGTACATTGGGATAAAATAGTTTTGACAAATTTTAATAAATAACGTACGTTGAATTCGAGTTTACACATTATTAAAATTTTAATTTAATTATTGTCAGTATATTAATTCATTAGAAAGTTGATGAAAAGATAATGGCGGTTCTGCAAACTTTTCATCGACTATAATCGCGTGAAAAACTGTTATTACAATTGAGAAACAAATGCGCAGAGCATAGGTATAACAGCATGCCAAGTCATCGCCCTACATTTCGTAAAAATAGCTTCCGTCACGTACTAGTAGATGTCAAACAAGCGAAACTAAGAAAAGTGAAAGAGCGTATAAGCATGGAAGTAAAGAAAGAAAAAAGTAACTTCAGTATAAAATCGATCTGTATCATGCAAGTAAAGCAACGGTTAAATGGATGATACGTATTTTTATTGAACATGTCGTTATGTGCGAATCACAAAGCGACTACGGATCGATGAACTCGATTGTGACGGCGTCGCGATGTCTACATGTCGTGTGAAAAACGTGCCTTTGCAGAGCGATTTTTGCAGATTATGAAACATAAAATGTAATTTTATTAAACGCTTCTTATATTAAAAAAGAATAAATTAAATTATTCTCTTAAGAGTTCTTAAATCTGTCTTATTTTATAATATCTGTTTCAATTACTCGCTTCCAATTATTGGCGCAATCTATTTCCGTTTCTATTTCCTTTATTACTTCACTCTCGGAAGCATGAGCAATTTATTCGATCGTGCATCTCTTCGCGATACCGTTACTTTATAGTCTTCTTCGCGCTGCTCAACTTGTATTGCGTTTCGGTCAATCGCGCTGAAAGATCGACGTAGTTTTCCAATCGAAAAGTTTACAATTGAAATTCACTACATTATAGAAACTATCGGAAGTTATGTATTAGTTTTGTAATATCTTATTTTACAATATCTCCAGAGAATTCTAGCAATCTAGAAACTCGAGCTAGCATTTACATATTGTTGCTAAAGAATTTAATGAACGAGATCTAAAAATGCACTATTATAATATAAACTTGTACGTAAAATAACGTAGATTCTTCTTGTCTGTTTAATTAAAATTGTCTGTAGAATATTACAAAATTACTTAATTATAAAATTACTTTCTGAATATGTTGCTTTATTTTCAAATAATCATACTCAAACCTTTCGATTAGACTTCAATTTGTAAGCTGTAGAACATGCTATCTTACGACATAAAATATATGACAACCAGAGATTTTTGCTTCTTTCTGCAGCTAGAATACAGAACACGTGTAATCCTAGTCGTGAAAAAAGTATTTGCCCGTGTATACAAAATTCGTGGTATCCATCATCCGTGAACCAATTACACGTTAAATGCGATCCTACGTGTATCTCCGCGTCACGGTACCCTGCGTCCCTATCGAAGGCGATCGTCGCGGCGTAACACGATTCGATCCCGCAAATTCCTCCTCTCTCTGCCGCCGCGCGATACACTGGATCGCGTGCTACGATCCAGAACCGCAAGATCGTGTGCTGCAAGGCAGCTCTATCTCTCCCTCTCACTCTCCTTGTCTCTCTCTTCGCTCTCTCCTTCTCTCTCCTTCACTGTTGTCAATAGTCAGGCTTGACTCATAGAAACGGGTTCCGCTCGCATTCCGGACGTCCAGCCTGCCGCTCACGGCGGAAAGCGCATCGCCGTGTCGATATCTGCGCGTGTGTAGACTCGCGTGACGGGCGAACGATCCCGGTGGAAACTCACGCGCATGCAAAGAATGCTCGTAAAATCTCCGACGGACCTGATAAACATTGTAGAGGCGCAGGGCGACCGGCGGAATTGTGTTCTGTTAAGAATAACTTTGTGTTTCTGTCTTCACTGATATTCACCAAGTCTTATCTCTCTTTCAAGCTCATGGAAACCCGAGCCAAAACTTGTACGCTTCGTTTTTCTCTTTTGTTCTCTTAAACTCTCCGATTTCTTAGCTCTTTTTTTATACACAATAAGTCGAGCACCTAAGAATTCTTTTCACATATCCTTCTAACAGAACAATCTATGAAAAAAGCACAAACTCTAAAAAATAAATCGATGCTTAATTCAAATATTTTCGTCAGTGCATTATTCTTTCTTCTATCCAGATTTCGCTATATCTCGACAGTTTAATTAATTTTACTTAAATTTTTTCAGCGGTTCTGATTTACCTTTTATTTGCATTATGTGATATTTTCACAAAGGATTTAAAGATAATATAAAAATTGTGTCTATTATCACTTTAGCGTACAGAGTTCCGAACGCTGTCTTCGAAACACACGTTGAAGGCGATTAATTGACGCGTTTGCTTAGTAAATTGATTACTTGAGCCATTAACCAACAGACACGTCGATATAATCGACAAACGCGCTCATTGTTCGCGATCGTAAAGTGAAAATGACGACGTATGGACTCCAGCCGTGCGGATCGTTCCATACAGGATACGCTGAAGTTTCTCGTCGTCGCGCGCCGCGTTTGCGACCGCATGATTTGCATGAAAACAGAGAAGCACGATTTAAGGAAGTCGCTTATTAACGGCAACCATGATATTATCGTCACGATGCCATTGACATCATTATCGTCATTCCCATCATTTAGCTCGCATACGGAGCATCTCTAATCAGAATGGATGACGTTCGCTTGCGTACGCATTGATCAATGTGCACGGTTCATTATACCGTATTGATTACAGATACATTTTAATCGTCAACGTCAAGGCGAAATATGAATAATTTTATATATTAAAAACTTCACTAAAGTAAATTCTGCTTAATTTAAATGGATATTTAAGCACGGAAAAAAATTT